CCCATCGGAAGCTGTTATAATCCGAACAAGATCCGAACAAGACCCGAACAAGACCCGAATCTATTAACAAAGGTATTTATCATCCCGCGAAGTGTATGTGCACTCTCTCTCTCCGCGAAAATTCTTCATCCAATAGATTTGTAAATAAACCCTTGTTAATTAAGTGTATCTGAGTCACTTCCAATGTTGTCTCTCGAATCGACATTAAGAATCCGTCTGACCACATACGGAACCGCTCGCGCGACGGCGTGACGTAATCGCCGTCTCGGTTTCCGTGTTTCGAGAAACACGTAGGTGTCAATCCTGACAGGGTACCAAAGAGGTGCCGACCCGAAAGGTCACACGCAGGATCTACGCGTAGAGTGTAGTCCAGTGGTTCTCAAAGCGGGTGCCGCAAGAACGCCACAAGGGTGCCGCGAAATTTTTAAATAATTAAATTAAAATTACTTAAAATAATTGAATTAAAGTATTAAATTAAATAAATAATTAAAAGATACCTTTATAATAATAACTTTTGTTTTGAATGCTTTTGTGTTGTTTGGAAATAAACTTACTTTAATAAAAAACTTTTATTTTTTTCAAAGTCTTCTCATCCTTCATATCTTTACTAACCATAAAAAGCAAAATAATAATAATAGGGGTGCCATGAATTTTGTTTAATAATTTCAAGTGTGCCACCTGACAAAAATGTTTGAGAAACACTGACCTAGATAATCTGCACAATACCTAGGTAATTTGAGAAATAGAACAATTTTAGCAACTTTAACGGATCACGTTAGGTAATCTGCAGATTAACGAGTTTCCGAGCTTTAGCGGTAACACATATAAGTAGCAGCATATGAAATAAACTAAAAAAGAGGTGATGATCTTTATGATTTGTAATGCAAATATTTACTGGAATGACAAAGTTTTTTCTATTTATATTTTAAACTAGCTTCAAGGACCCGCTTCGCTGGGCAAAAAGTAACGATAGTGAAGATTAAGATAATTACATTATAGCTAATCTTACCCGTTTTCACAGAATGCAAGAATTAGGTCCCCCGTTTCCAGACTAATTAGAGAATTTTTACGTTTAGTCAAACGAACTATTTTCAACGTTTCTGGAACATTTACAATCGTTCTATAATTGAACCAATATTCAAATTTTATGTTCGAATTTAATTCGAACAAATTCGAACAAAACATTCGAAATAGAAAGCCACTTTCAGCCTCATATCTCCCGCACCCTTATAGATATCGAGACACAATCACTCCTATGCACGAATGGAGACTTGGGGCTACCACCACATACAAACACCATTCACGTGCGATGTGTAGTTTTGGCAGAAAAGTGAAATATAAGGACATACATGTCCATTTATATATATATATATATAGATAATGAAATACAGTATCTCTGATTGTTACCTTGATGTGAAGGTTCCTTAATTAAACTTGAAGCAATTGTTGATTGCAAAAGTGTTAAGTTGTATGTCTTAGATTTGAAACAGACAAATACCATCCTAAAAATCATTGACCTTGATATGCAAAAGAATCAAAATTTCAAAAAGTGAAAAGAAAGATTTTTTTCTCATGCAAAAGCTTTATCTATGTTACTGCACCTTGCCAATAAAAAAATAACCAAATCTTCATTTTTTTTAGATGAATGCTAATAGAAGTTGTATGCCAGATTGTGCTTAAAACTTTTATTGATGTTCTCACAAGAAAAAGTAGATGAATGGAGAATATATCATATCAAAAAATACCAGAATCTTGGTTCCTGGAGAGCAGTACATCTGACTCTAGTAAACAATGTACTGATGCAAATGATGATGATTGTAAAGAATTTCCTGATGATGTAAGATGTTATGATGACTAAGATATTGAAATCTGATGACAAAACTCAAGGAACATGTGCCACTGTACTATAGAAGGATTGATTATTACTGGGTTAAAAGTGTTTAGCACAAAGAAGCAAGCAGGTATAGCAAAATATGAAATCCTAGCAAGCTGGTAAAAGTATGTTTAACTCTTTCTCACATTATAGAATGTTGAAAGAAGTTTAGCAAAAACAAAAGTATACTTTACCTTGACAGAACAAGTCTCAGTATAAAAACATCGATGGATTGAGAACCACTTTATTCTTCATGGACAGACTCAATAGAAACCTGGAAAAGGTTCCAATAACAAGATAGTTCTGCAATCAGCCAATAATTCACACAAATAAAAAGAAAGAATTACTAAGTGAATGGAAGCAAGGAAATAGAGGATGAAGAAGCCTTGTTAAGAGCATAAACATTCTCAAAAATTCTGATCTATCTGGCTTTCAAGTCCAGAAGTTAAGAGGGCAGA